CAAGTTTCCTTAAACTTTCTAAGTTATCTATGTAACGAGCTTTCTGCCAATGACTTTGAAACTAGTTGGCTTTAAGGCATTAGGTGAAGAGACACCCTTAAGAACATACTTACTCAAGTAACAAAGGCTACGAAACATTCGACTTCTCTTTTTTCTTTTTTTGAAAGCATTCAACACATTCTTCCCAAACTTATCACTTGTGTTTTGACGCGAATATTAACATTTGTGATGAAAGCACCTGGTTACTCAACAAGTCATAAACTTAAAGTGCTTTGCATACTCATATTTCAAGTCACTGTTTGACGTGAAAGTTGACATGAGTCTCATGCCTAACCCCCAGTTACTAAGTAACTAAAGACATTTGAGTAGAAATTAACTAACTCTTTTGTATGTTGGCTTTTTTTTTCTTTTTTCTTTTTTTTTTTTATGTGCTTTTTAGATGCTACTAAGTCTTTTCTCTAAACTTCTCACTATAAACTTTTGCTCAAGTAGAATAGAATACTCATAAACTTAAACTTCATCATAATGGTGCTATTTTTCAAATTTTGTATCTTCTCTAAGATTCAAAGATTTTAAAAGTTTTTGAATTTCAACTTAAGAATATTCAATTCTTTGACACTAATTGGACCAACTCCTAAAAAAATACCCTAATTTCTAAAAAAAATGTCATGCAAATATGAATGCAAACTAATGTAAGAATGGACATATAAAAGTTATTCTCTCCCCCAAACTTAAATCAAATAAAAGTAAGAGAAAAGAGAAACTTTCTAGGTTTTGTACTTGAAGACTTCAAATTTAAGTTCTAAAGTTGAGTTGTCTTGATTTAGAGGAGACTTCTAGCATGTGAATTCCATGATCTTGTCCCCCTGTCACGCCCCAAAACCCGAATCCGAGGCGCGACAGACGCCGTGCACTCGTGAGACGGGTCCCACAAGTGCACAAGGCTCGGAACTTACTGAACAAAATCGGTTTTGATACCATAAAATTTCCAATTAAAATCTAACTTGCAGGAGCGTGGTGTACATGTATCTAAAATCTATGTCAAATCTCAAGTGGCTAGCCTTTTATCACGTCACTCCCCTTGATTTCCGAGTCTCGGGGCACACTACCTGAAATGGTGGATGAGAAAAACGAGGTGAGATAACTCAGTAAGTAAAATATGGATTGCCCTTAATTAAACTTATAGCATGCCAACAAGTGTAATCACGAAAAACGGATACAGTACGGGCACGAAATAGACGTCTCCTCTATAGGTCACAGCCAGTGTTATAAACCTCCCACTGACAGGCTACAGAAATTACTAGTGTTTAACCCCCACTAGTAGGGTTACAGAAACAAA